AAAAAAATCTTATATTTATTGTTATTTATTTTTAAAATATACATATATAAAAAATTCTTAAAATTTTTTTAACAACACTTTTGATTAACCCTTAGGTTTCGAAGTACGCCTTTTAGCGTTCTCGCTAGTTCCGAAGTACGCCTTTTGGCGTTTTTAAATATACCTTGATATTTTACTAAAAAACACAAAAACTACTAACTGCAATCCTTTTCCGGCTTCAAATTATAAATAAATAGTCCACAACGGTCCGAAAAAATATAAACATTAAGTTTTTCATCAAGAGTTCTATGCAAAATTTTTACTTAAAAAAGTATAATAATTATGACATCTAGGGGTCGCCAATTAACTAAATCTGAGATTCAGAAGTTTATAGATAAACTTGATGACAGTGAAATTGATGGTTGCGAAGATGATTCTTTGATTTCCACTAATGGTAATAATATTTTAGTCTATTTATTTAGACTTGGAATGTTAAATAAATGAGTTTCATTGATAATTTAAGTTTAAGATTTGAATTTCAAAAACTTAATTTCTCCTCGACCTTGTTTCATAAATATTTTAGTATGTATCAAAATTGCAAAGTAAAATATTATAAAGCCATACATGTAATAAATATATAATCCTTAAGCAATTTAAATATGCATTTAACAACCTTAGATTCATTTGAACTTGCATCAGAATCTGAAACGTCGGAAGAAGAGAATGCTTCGGATATCGAATTTATTCAACCAAGAATAAATGGAGCAGTTTCTTTTGATCTTTCTCATGTTGAAAATAACAACACCAGCAATATTGTAGTAACTGGTGGTAATATAGGTGAATTGCAACCACTGCAAAATTGTCTTTGTAAGACTATGATACATGTGTTGTGAAAGTAAGACCGGTTATTTGTATCGCTTTATAATTTATACTGGTTCAGAAACAGACTATCCTACCCCCAGTAACATTACATTTCCAAAAGCATTTGATGAGTATGCAAGTTACTTAAAAGTAGTATTATCAATAATAGATGGACTGTACAAACAAGGTTACTGTGTAACAATAGATAATTTATACACTTCACCTGAACTTTTGATGGCCTTATTTTATAACCAAACGGATTATTTTGGCACACTGCATTGAAAAAAAGGACTTCCTCGAGACTTCTGGAATTGGAAGCCTTCTAAAAGCATAGGTCAACCAGTTTTGAAAATGTTTTGTGCCGAAAAAATTATGATGAGATGGAATGATCCCTACAAAACCAAATCAACAAAAATTGTTTCAATGATGTCAACAAAACATACTGGTCAGTTAGTTGAAACTGGAAAAGTTCACTTCTCTTTGAAAAGTCCCATTATAAAACCTGATGTTGTATTAGACTACAATAAAACAATGGGTGGTGTAGATACCTTGAGCCGTGTTAGTATCCCCTATTCCATACAGCGGAGAGGTTTAAAATGGTTTAGAAAGATTGGGGAGCTGCTTATTGATTTTTGCATTTATAATTCATTTATCAGTTGGAAAAAATTAAATAAAAGCAGCACCAGTCAACTAAAGTTTAGACAATCACTTGTAAAAACGATACTTATGTATCATCTAAACAAACAAGCACCGATTCAAACTGGACGCGGAGAACCAGTAAATTATTTCAACAACCCTTTAAGACTTATTGAAAGTCATTTCATCACTCAAAAAAATCAATCCCTTGGTCAGAAGCGTAGTAAATGTGTCTGTTGCTTGAAGATTGGCAAATGCAAGGAGACAAGCTATGAATGTCGCATTTGTGCTGTAGCAATATGTGTCACACCGTGTTTTGAAATATATCACACACAACGTGATATTACATCATCAAGAGATAGTTCGTCATGCGACAGTGAAAAATCTTGAAGTGATCATGGTTTAAAACTCTATTGATATGTCTTTTCATATATTTCTATTCAATAAAGATATTTTGTTTGTTTGTTGAAAATTTTAGCAAAAACAATTAGTGAAATAATTTTAAAATTTGGAAAAAATTAAAGTTGTACTTGAGTTTATTGTTATTATTTTATTTGAATATACTAATGGGATACTAAAAATATCAATTTTATTACGTAAATATATATTTCCACCTGTTTTTTTTCATAAATATCTATATATTGATAAAAAGTGCATTAAGGAGTTTTTTCTAACTTTTTTTTTTGTATTCTAGATGAATGATGTATAAAACCTATGTCCAGTGTGGTGTTATCCTTTATGAATTATGTAAGTATAATCATTTACCTTTTAGAAAAACTTTACTTCAAGAATTAGACATAAGGATAACAGAATATATATTGTTTTTAAGAAAACTACAACTTTTGCTGAAAAACATTGTGCGCTGAGTGGTCAAACATGAAAAATTAAGCGGAGTCTAAAGGTTAATAAAAAGTTTTACATAAATTATTTTAAATTCCTTCATTTTAAGATAAAATCTGATAAAATCTTTCAGTCACAGCAGTTAGCAAGTCAGCAATAGAGCAAGAGGATCGAAAACTCTATTGATTGTCTGACAGTAAGTTACTTGACTCAAGATGGGATGTAAGAAATTTGTTTATCTAAGACTCAAAGAACTTGCTAATAATAGAAAGAAGCCTGATCTGATGCATCAGAACATTCACCAGAGTTTTTGAAAAGCGGAACAATATATACCATTTTCCAGCAGGCAGAAAAACAAGACCCAGCTAAGCACTTATTAAACAGTTTAGAGAGAATTGCAGAGAGTTCTAGAAAACAATTTTGTAAGGCTATGACAGGAATGTTGTCCGGACCACAAGCCGCAGAAGAGTGTAATGGAGATATGACAACATAAGCTAGAATGATTGGAATGTCTAACAATGGGTTAACCTGTTTAATTGAAATGGAAAAAAGAGAATGGACATAAGATTCAAGAGTCAAATTAGAAGAAAAGTTCTTTGCAAATAGTTTTGCCTTATCCTGGGAAAAGCTAATAAGATCAGTCCCATAAATTAATGATGGAATGCTAGACATGTCCTTGTTAATAACGCTGCTGAAAATTTTCAAAAAGTCTCTAGATCCTTACTTCTGAGATGAGATAATAGATGAATGATGAGATAAGGGATTAAGTGGACTGAGAATAGAGCTTAGCATCTAACAGCGCTTTTATACAAAAGATTTTTTTCAATAATAAATAGCTGTTTGCTCTCAAAAGAGTTATTCTTTTTAAAAAAATAAAAAAAATAATTATGATTAGATATAGCAGCTGCATACAAAGGTAAAAAACATGGAGTAGAATGAGACTTGACTTGGAACCAATAAAAAGAAATAAAAACTTCTATTCTTGCCAGAATCCGCAGGTTATATAAAAGGTGCATTTATTAGCTGATAGAGAAAAGACATCAGCCCAAGGACTGTAAAGAAGAAAATTATGAAGGGAATCTTAGTTAGCTTTAGGGTAGTAGTAAGTAATAGAATGATAAGGTGAGTCTAAAGAAGAAGTAAAAAATTATAGATTTAAAGAGATCATTGCATGGTCAGAACCACCTAGAGGAGAAAAAAGAGAAACTGAACACAAGCTGGGGTCAGAGAAAAGACATAAATCAAGGAGTGCAGGTAAAACAAAACTTAATAATGACTAATAACTTAAAACCAAGTTATAAGCATAATTCAGGTTTCTCCTTTATGCAGCCAATATTTAACAACAATACAAATAATTAATAAGTGAAGAATTCTTCAAATTTATAATTACTTTCATTTAATTGTAAAAAATATATAAGATCATATTCAAAATAGTTTCTTGAACTAGAATAATTTTTAAAGAATTTTAAACCATAACTAATCACAACTCTGTGTTGTTTATTAAAGTATCTTTTATTTAACTTCAATTTTTATTTTGTTGAAAGTCTTTAGTTGTGTCATAAAACATTTGTAACAACTGTTGTAGCATGCTTTTTTTCCATCTCAAACTATAAAAAAAAAAACCATTCTACTTGTGTTAACTATGCACTCAATTATTATTCAAACCAGATATTTTTATAACAGAAAAAACATTTAAAATTTGTAAGGTTAGTTTTAACTACTCAATTGGAAATATAATGGCAAAAAAAAAATTTGTTTTTATAATATCTCAATAAAGAACTTGTTTCGGTAAGTTTATCTCTAAACTTATTTTCTAACATTTATTAAATTACTGAAACTTGTCTCAGCACTTCTAAATCCCTTCAAAGACCTGTGAAATGATCAAAAATGTTTGTGAAATGTTCAAGGACCTGTAAAATGTTAAAGGGTCTTGAGCCACTAGAAAAAAAAAAGGAAAAAAATATTTAAATTTTTTTAAATTAATATTTAAAAAAATATTTAAATTTTTAGTTATATAGAACACAACTAAAGAGTGAAAAAAATAAAAAAGTGAAAAAAAACTTTTTGAAAACGTTTTTTTAATAGATACACCAGAATATACCTAAAATCCTTTGCATTAAGAACAGGGATGGTATCCTTCATTTCCAAAACGATTGTAGAAACTGCTTTTTCTACAGCAATATATGAAGCAGGGACAGGTTGTTGGAGTAACTTATATTCAGCTATAAAAATATAATAATACATGACAATAATGTTTTTTTACAACTGCTACCTTATTATTAAAAACACATTTCCTTTGTTGTTGATTTTTTTCAAGTTTATTCCCCTATTTATTCTCACTGATTCGTTTATTTATTTGCTTTCAATTATGAACAATCCAATTAATATAAAAAGATAAAAACTCTAAATATCAACACACCTTCCTTTCCATGACCTTTAATATTATTAGCAGTACGATATATGAGATCGCGAAGCTCTTGAATATTGTCATCTTTAGGGCAACTTACATCAATAACATCTTCAACACGAGGCAAACCAACATCTTGAGCATTAACTTTGTTTTCACCATTTTTAATGTTTATAAATTTTTCTTTAATTACTTTTTTGAAATTTTCACGGGAAGATTTGTCAACTTCATCAGCATGTGTACCAACAATAAGCACAGTAGTGTTAGGAGCACGAGCCTGAAAATAATTTTTAAATTAGTTAAAAGTAATTACTGAAAAATCTTTTAATTAACAACAATCCAACTCTTTTAATCATAAAAATAGGAAAAATTAAATAAAAAAATTATATAAAAATATTATTAAAAAATTATATAAATATATTATAAAAAAAAAAATTAAATAAAAAGCCTGCGATTTAAATAAAATAAAAGACTATTATTATAAAAAATTTTCCAAAAAATAAAATTTTTGTTTTTAAAAGATTTTAAAAAATTGTTAGTTTAATTATAAAAATTAATCTTATGAACATTACAAAATACATGCTTATATAAGTAAATGAAGTTATTTTATATTGTATAATCCACATTTCTAAAGCTAAATGTAAATGTGTAAAAGCTAGTAGTCGCAAAAGGTTTTGAAATGTTTCTAAAATTAATGCTTTAAAAGATTTTTAGGAAACCATGGAAAAATAGTTTCAAACATTTAAATTTATCATGAAAAATACATTCCAACATAAAAAAATTTATATATAACTTTTTTTAATAATTTACATACGTGTTTATGTAAACAATCATTAAAAAAAGAATTAATTATATGGTTTTATTTTAAAGCCTTCACTTAAGATAAAAACTTTAGAATAGATCAATGATCAAAAGTTTTTCACAACGTAACACTTTTTATTGCATTTAAATTGTTAAAACATCAAAATAGCTGTGGTCAAGTTGTAAAGAAAAAAAACAATTAGCGTGGTCAGTTACAGAGTGTGATCGCATATACCAGGTATACCGGTATGAAGTGAGTGTCAAGATACAAATGTCTCGATAGGGAACATTTGTTGTGAACGAGCCTTTATTTTTTTTTGTTTGTTTGCTATGACATCTGTGAAACATATTTAGTATACATCAAGTCATTGAACAGACAACATCATATTTTTTCATCGTGTTAAAAATGTCAAATTTTGTACCGGAAAGTGATGATTTGCGGAAAGCATTAATTTTTTGTTTTCATTTGAAGTAAAGTGCTGCAGAGTCGCATCGAATGCTTGTCGAGGCATATGGTGATCATGCTCTATCAGAAGCAACATGCAAAAGATGGTTTCAACGGTTCAGAAATAATGACTTTGATGTGAGAAATGAAGAACGTGGAAGACCACCAAAAAAGTTTGAAGACGCCGAATTGCAAACGATATTGGATGGAGATGACACTTTGAGTCAAAAGCAAATGGCAGAAATGTTAAATGTTGCACAACAAACAATTTCTGACCGTTTAGAAGCTATGGGAAAGATCCAAAAGTGTGGAAAATGGGTGCCACATGAATTGAATGAAAGACAGATGGAAAACCGAAAAAACACTTGTGAAATTTTGCTTCGAAGACACGAAAGAAAATCGGTTTTGCATCGGATTGTTACTGGCGATGAAAAATGGATTTATTTTAAGAATCCTAAACGGAAAAAATCATGGGTTAATCCGGGACAACCATCAACATCGACTGCAAAACCAGATCGATTCGGCAAGAAGACAATGCTGTGTGTTTGGTGGGACCAGAAAGGTGTGGTGTTCCACGAGCTCCTAAAACCTGGTGAAACCGTCAATACTGATCGCTACCGACAACAAATGATCAATTTGAACCATGCATTGATCGAGAAATGACCAGAATGGGCCAGAAGACACGGCAAGGGAATTTTGCTCCATGACAATGCACCTGCACACAAAGCAAAACCGGTTCAGGATACAATCAAAACACTTGGCTGGGAGCTGCTACCCCACCTGCCGTATTCACCAGACTTGGCTCCTTCCGACTACCATTTGTTTTCATCGATGGGACACGCATTGGCTGAGCAGCACTTTGATTCCTACGAGGAGGTCGAAAATTGGGTGTCTGGTTGGTTTGCTTTAAAAAACGAACAATTTTATTGGCGTGGTATCCACAAATTGCCAGAAAGGTGGTCAAAATGTGTAGAAAACAATGGCCAATACTTTGAATAAAATGTTTTATACTTTCCCATTAATAATTAGTGTTTTATTTTCACAAAAAACGCTCATTTCATACCGGTATACCTGGTATATATATATATATATATATATATATATATATATATATATATATATATATATATATATATATATATATATATATATATATATATATATATATATATATGTATATATACATTTTATATATTTATATAGATACAACATGCAGTTACTATGTATATATATATACATATATATACAACGAGTACTTACACTGCGCGACGTAATGATAAGACACCCAAGAAATATTTATAAAACTTTATATTTAAAAACTAATTTTTATTGTAAAAGAAAGTAAAGGGTTTATAACACTAAATAACATTTTAAGAAACTTATTTTAAACATAACTGGGATTTTACAAAAAAAAAAAAAAAAAAGTAAAAGAAAATTTTACAAAAAATGTTTTATTTACAAACCGCAGTAGTAGGTAATTACGAATATTTATTTAATGTAAACACCACAGGCGATTATTTAACTGTAAACTGGTGTGAACTGTCAAAAAATTAATTGAGGTTTTTTTTTATTAGGTATAAAATAAAAAATTAATTAATAATTGGTCATGCTGCACCGTTGAATCCAGATGAGAAAAAAGTGCTCTTTAACTTATTAAAAATGGGTCAGTCCGTTAGTTACATGGCTAGAGCCATTGGATGCAGCCAAACTGTAATTAAAAAATGTCAATAGTTCTGATATGGATGGAAAAAAAAGTCCCTAAAATCTATCAACATTAAGTGAATGTGATAGGTGAAGGTTAAGAGAAGCTTCAAATTCTTTATTAACTGCACATCAAATTGCTGCAGAAGCAGGTGTGATTGCTAGATTATGTACAGTTCAGCCAGTGATTTATAATGCTTTTCACCTTTCATGCAAAAAACTTCAGGGAAACCACCTTTGACAACAAAACACATAAACAATTGAATAACTTTTGCAAAGAACCACATAACATGGAAAGAAGAGTGGCAACGAGTAGTATTTTCTGACAAAAAACAATTTTGTCTTGATGGGCCTGACCTGAACATTATTGAGAATGCTTGGGAACAGCTGTCACATGTAGTGTTTGAAGGTAGTAAACAGTATAGCTCACTAGCTGACTTGAAACCATCTATCGCATCTGCATGGGATACAATTAACATTTTGTAAAAAAAAAAGTTGTATGATTCTTAACTTTCTAGAATGATTGAAGTGATTCAAAAAAATGGTAAATGTACACACTATTGATTTTTTAAAATCAAGACATCTTTTTTTATAAAAGACAGATAACATTAATTTTTTCCAAAAGTCTCTTATAATTTTGTTGCACTAAAAAAACTGATTTTTTTATAATAAAGTTAAATAAATTATAAACATATTTAAGTACATATATACAGGGCTTAATTTAATTTTTATAAGGTCCTGGACAAAATGTCCGACCAAAAGTTATTTTGGTCGCACATTGTCCGATCAAATTTTTGAAATAAAATTTAAACAAATAATTTTCACCAATATTTACATATATTCATATTTGTTTAGATAAAAGGAACACAGAAAAAAGATAGTTCTTTAAATGCCGAGAGTAAAAAAGTACTGCAGATAGGTTTTTTTAGACTAGCTTCTGATGTATCTGAGTTTTACGAAACCCAAATATCCAATCAAAATATATGTTATGTTTTCCCAGTTTATTTTATTTTAAGTTGTAGTTTTTTTTTTTTAATATTCAGAATTTTTATCATCGTAGATCTTTGTATTTTAAATGAAATAGTTTAAATTCAATACTGCGCATTTTTTTTAGATAGACTTGAAGTTTTATTGAATTTTTTTCTCCCGAAAACCTTGTTAGTTTACATTGAATTGCATTACCCGTTTATAAAAGTTATGTAAATTTTTTTACTTAAAAAAATAATATGCTGTGTCAATTTTGCGCATAAGCTCCACTTTTAGCACCAAAAAGGTATTTATATGGCGTTCATGTAACTAACTTTATTAATAATAAAAACGGCAAGAAAACAAGTTTGTTATAGTAATATAGTATAATGTCTTTAATATATTAAATATTAAGATGAGCATATTATTTTTAAACTTGATATAAAAAATTTAAACTTCGCTTTTACTTATTTAAAGGCGGTTAAATATATTTAAAGGCGGTTAGTATATATATATAGTATATATATATTTAAAGGCGGTTAGTATATATATATAGTATATACATATATATATATATATATATATATATATATATATATATATATATATATATATATATATATATACATATATATATATATATATATATATATATATATATATATATATATATATATATATATATATATATATATATATATATATATATATATATATATATATATATATATATATATATATATGTATATATATATATAATTGTATTAAATTCAAGCTAAATTACAAATTCAAACTTAACTATAATCTGGTTTAACCCCCCATATAGTAAAAATGTTTTTATCAAAATTGGTAAACTCTTTTTGAGTTTAATAGACAAACACTTCCCAGCTGGCCATAAATATCACAAGATTTTTAATAGAAATACTCTAAAGGTAAGTTAGAGTTGTATGCCAAACATCAAATCAATAACCATCATATAATAAAAAACATAATAACTCTCATAACCATCATATAATGAAAAACAATACCTCTAATTCCAATAAACATTGCAATTGTATTATCAAAAGCAAGTGCCCTCTAAATCAAAAATGCCTTGTAAATAACATAGTGTATCAAGCCACTTTGTACCCAGGCACTCCAAGTGAAACCACAATCAAACTTAGATACACGCTAACCATACAAAATCTTTAAATATCAAAAAATATAAAAACGACTCTGAATTATCTAAGGAAGTATGGAGCATAAAAGAAAGTGGAGTAAGCTCAACAATTGAATGAAAAATTGTAAAACGTTGTAGATCTTACAATCCCACAGTAAAATGTTGCAACCTTTGTTTATTTGAAAAGTATCTCATAATATCTTAC